CCCAGTGTTCCATAGTAGTTATTGAAACCTGCTGTAGGATCAAATCTATGGCCGATACCAGCAGCTCCCCCCAAACCTTTAATCATACAGGGTGAGACACATTATAAAATAAAGAAAATCCTCGATTCTAGATTACACCGAGGGAGATTACAATATTTGGTGTAATGGAAAAATTACCCATTGTCAGATGCTACTTGGGTAAAAAGTTGGGATGTACATGCTGATAGATTGGTTAATCAATTCCATGACAAATTCCCTGACAAACTGAAGGGTCCCCTTGGAGTAGGGAAGAGGGGGTTAAGGGCATCGCATTAACTCCTGGTTGTGTTTTGTTTATTGTCTCTTCCAGGAGGTGATTTCCTCAAGGCGGGATGCCTGTCAGCTTTGGAAGCCATTTCCACGTTGCCACAAGTGAGAGAGGGGTGGATTCAATTGAGTAGCTCTAAGTAGACAAAATAATTTTTTTTGTTAGTTCAAGGTCATTGGGTATGGCGCAGAATGAAAAAAAGATCTTACTTTTGGATGGATTGTGATTGAGCCATGTGATGTGATGATGGCCAAGGGGGGGATAAATTTGCAGTTTGGGAATTGTGGGAAGTCTGAAACCTTTCAGATTCGGGATTCCACAGATGTGCCAGGTGCTATTCTAATAAAGGTACTTTTGAGATATGTTTGTCTCGGAGTTACTGATTGGAATGGAGGTTTGCTGGAATGCTGACACCTTACCTTTATAAAAGGTGAGCTATGCTTACATATATGCATGCTGCACAAAAACCCAGGAAACACTGGTCATTGGTTCTCTCCTGCCAACACTTTGGTTTGGCATTGAATAGTTCATTCAAAAGCAAGATTAGATTGCTGGAACACGGGTTACTTCATGCCCCTGGGAACTGCTCTTAGATTCCAGCAGGTTACTTCATGAAATGAGCATATCCAATTTGATTGAGAGTTCTCATCAGTTTTCTGTTCCGTTTAATTTTATTTTTATACAGATGGAGAAATTACTGTTACACCCATACCTTCTGACAAGCCAACTACATGACTTCATATCTATTTTATAACCACATATAATTACATAACCTCATCATTTATTTTCTCCCAAAATTCATGACTCCTGATACTCATCTTTCTAAAATTCAGAGTTTGAACATTAAAAAAATAACCTAAAAGACTTATACAATGGATTTCTTCCCTGCTTCCTCCCCCACCCCATCCCACCCCACAAAAATATATAATTTTATTAACCATGTTATTATTCAAATAATACCAAATGTTCTGTATAGGATAAACAAAAGACAAACTAGTCTAGCTGAAAATTTCAATATTCAAATATTGTATCCAGTTTTGGTTACATTATAAAAAAGATATTGAGACTTTGGAAAAAGAGAACAGTAACGAAGATGATTAGGGGCCTGGAGACTAAAACATATGATGAATGGTTGCAGGAATTGGGTATGGCTAGTTTAGTAAGAAGGACCAGAGGAGACATGATAGCAGGGTTCCAGTATTTGAAAGGCTGCCACAAATAGGAGGAAGTCAACATATTTTCCAAAGCACCCAAAGGCAAGACAAGAAGCCACAGATGGAACCACAGAACTAATCAAAGACAGATCCAACATACTACTAATGAGAAATTTCCTGAAGTGAGAACAATAAACCAGAGGAACAATTTGCCTTCAAAAGTTGTGGGTAACAGATAATCAGAGTTGGAAGGGACTTTGTAGGTCATCTAGTTCAACCCCCTGCCCAAGCAGGAGACCCTACACCATTTCTGACAAATGGCAGTCCAATCTCTTCTTGAAAGTCTTGAGTGATGAAGCTCCTACAACTTCCGAGGGCAAGCTGTTCCATTGGTTGATTGTTCTCACTGTCAGAAAGTTTTTCCTTATTTCCAGGTTAAATCTCTCCTTGTTCAGTTTCCATTCATTATTTCTTGTCTGGCCTTCGGGTGCTTTAGAAAATAGCTTGACCCCTTCCTCCCTGTGGCAGCCCCTCAAATATTGGAAGACTGCTATCATGTCTCCCCTGGTCCTTCTCTTCACTAGACTAGCCATGCCCAGTTCCTGTAACCGTTCTTCATATGTTTTAGTCTCCAGTCCCCTAATCATCCTGGTTGCTCTTCTCTGTACTTTTTCTAGAGTCTCAACATATTTTTTATAATGTGGTGACCAAAACTGGATGCAGTACTGAGGTGTGGTCTTACTTAGGTGGAGGCTTTTAAGAAGAGACTGGACAGCCACCTTTCTGAAATGGTATAGGGTCTCCTGCTTAAGACGCCAAGGTACCTTCAACTCTGATATTCTATGTTCTATCCAGCAGTCTTCTATTAGCTAATTTTTGTGCCTGTACCTGGCCTGTAAGAGTCCTTTTTATGAAAGTGCCCATAATTTCATAAATGTCTCCATGTTTCCATGTATCTTGCAGGAAAGGCAGAATACAAAAGAATTAAGTTAATATGCATTGCCCTTATGTAGATGACACTTTCACCATAATAAAAAGGACCAACCTTGTTGCTGCTTATTTAATGATTCAAAAAAACTGTATTACTTAAGTTTAAATTCTTATGCCAGAGAGATTTTAATCAGAAGCATCAGATATTTACTTTAGAAAGTAATAACCACCATCCTCTATGAAATAACATCTGAAATAACAAAAAAAGGCATTTTTGTGGTTGGACCTTGTAACTTCAAAAAGCTTTGCCATTTAATTGTATACATTTGAAGATTGTTTGCAACACTTTTCTGAGCTGCATGGCACAGTCACTGATTTTGCTGATTAAATAACTGCTGCCTCACATTATGTAAACAGATCGTAACTAGTTTTCATGAGTGGGGAAGACTCCATCCCAAGGAAGAGCATCTTAGCTCCAACTTGGATTATGTAAAAAAGAGTTTTAAAACATATCTGTGTTCAGCCAACAGTTCGAGGCTGCATAAACAGAGGGATAGAATCAAGATCACATGAAGTGTTAATATCACTTAATAATGCTTAGTAAGGTCACACTTGGAATACTGCATCTAGTTTTGGTTGCCATGATGTAAACAAGATGTTGAAACTCTAGAAAGAGTGCAGAGAACAGCAACAAAGATTAGGAGACTGGAGGCTAAAACATATAAAGAATAGTTGCTGGAATTGGGTATGTCTAGTTTAATGAAAAGAAGGACCAGGGGTGACATGATAGTAGTGTTCCAATATCTCAGGGGCTGCCACAAAGAAGAGGGAGTCAAGGTATTCTGCAAAGCACCTGAGAGCAGGACAAGAAGCAATGGGTAGAAACTAATCAAGGAGACAAGCAACCTAGAACCAAGGAGAAATTTCCCTACACTTAGAACAATTAATCAGTGGAACAACTTGCCTCCAGCAATTGTAAATGCTCCAACATTGGAAGTTTCTAAGAAGAGATTGGATAACCATTTATCTGAAATGGGATAGGGTTTTTTGCCTTATCAGAGGGTTGGACTAGAAGACTTCCAAGGTCCCTTCCAACTCTGTTATTCTATTCTATTCTGTTTTTTATTGGAAAAGCTTGTATAGTATTTGCCATTGCTAAGTGTATGGAATTTTACTTTTTGTATTATACAGACTGCCTTGGCAATATCACTGTTGAAAATTGAGTAAGACGTATAGTAAATAACAACTACTGCAATCAATAAAAGACATCTAAGAAAACATTTAGGACATTACTGTTAGGAGAAGCTCTAACAGTGTCAAAAGAGTTCCCTGTGTATGGGGGTGACAGCTTTTTAATAAGAAAGAGAACTATGATTTATTTCAGAGTAACAGAATAACAGAGTTGGATGAGACATTCTAGTCCAACCCCTTGCTCAAACAGGAAATCATATACTATAAACCTCCAGTATTGGAGCACTCACAATTTCTGGAGGCAAGTTGTCCCACTGATTGTCTTATCAGGAAATTTATCCTTTGGTCTTGGTTGGTTCTCTCTTTGATTAGTTTCCACCCTTTGCTTCTTGCTTTCAGGTGCTTTGGAGGATAGGTTGACCTCCTCTTCTTTGTGGCAGCCCCTTTAGATATTGGAACACTGTTCTCATATCACCTTTAATTCTTCTTTTCATTAAACTAGACATACCCAATTCCTGCAACCACACTTCATGTTTTAGCCTTGTCCCCTAATCATCCTTGTTGCTCTTCTCTGCACTCTATTGCTTTTCTTCCTGGTCCTTGGCTATAATTAAGTATGATGGTGGTGGAATTTGTTTGCAGTTGTTTTAGGGTACAGTACTAAATATGTATCTAGAAGTAAATTACAGTGAACTCAATAGCCCCTGAAAACACATATGCTGTACAGATCTGTTCTTGGGATATCCTGTGGAATAAGGCCTTACAGCTGAAACAATATGCCCTAGTTTTTTACATTCCTGAGTCTATTCTTTTCCCTGTTTTGTAACATCTTGCCTGACTAAAAGTTGAAGGGAATTCAAATGGTCCATACATCTTTTGAGTTGTATGGCTTAAAGATAATGTACAGAAAAAAAATTATCTGCCAATTAGAAAAGACACTGTTGTTATTAGACAGCACAGTAGTTTAATGCACAGGAGTTTCAATTTGTTTGGTGTGTTCTCCTTATCAGAATTGTCTGTGCTATGAAAACTTATTTTGGACCAAAACATGTGTTGTTTTAAAATGTCTGCCCTCTAGCACTGATGATGTTGCCTAGTTAGGGTAATGAAATGACTGCAAGAAAACAATCAAGCTCTCTCCAGAGAGCTCCAAGGACCCCTCACTTCAACTAAGCTACAAATATTTTCCTTAATTGGTGTTTGGCCTCTGTTATTTGAAAAAAAAATGGAAATAAGGAGCTAATCTTAAATGTGTTCCCAATCGGAATTGAATTCATGTACTAATTTACAAAATCTCTTTGCTAGACTATCTTGAAGCTCTCTTAGCAGCATGAGACAGAAATAGCTAAATGGCAATTTTAGCCTAAAATCACTTCTGTATTGCTGATCCCCACTTCCAAATAAAATATACACCAAAATCATGCTTCCTCCTATATTTTGTAATATTTATTTTCATTTAATTGACATGCTTGATACATACTAAAGCAGAATAAATTAAAATATGACTAACCAACCTTTTTTTATACAAGGAACATCTAAAAATGTATGACAGCGATGTTCATGTGGATGCTTATTTCTTTTAATGAAAAAAAGCCAAGAAAGGTTATCAGAACAATACAGATATAATGCCTGATCTTATAGATCAATTGTGAAGCTGATGGGTTGAGAAAGACAATTTTGTAATTAATTAGTTTACTGATTCCAGGTAAGTAAAACCTGTTAGCAATGATTTGAATTCCTCAAATATTACTACAACTACCCCTCTTTCTGAATGAGAATTCTAATTAAATCAATTCAATTTAGATTAGATTTAATCAGGGGTAGGATTAATCCAAATTAGGCTACATCCTGGATATTTTGCTAAGGAGTAATATTCAGCTGAATAAAGCTTAAAGGACTGGCTAATGGTGAGTGAGATTTTTGGGAGTTAAAGTCACCAGTATGGAAAAAAAACCTAATTTGAATAAATTAGATATGATTTATGTAACAATTATTTGTATTCAATATAGATAGGATTTCATCTAATATTACTTTGGTAGTATTAAGGTACAATATTCAAGAAAAGTAACTGGGGACTGTTTATCTTGGTGTAAAAATCAATACACCTGATACTTTGTGTTCCTGTTCCAATCTTAATACTTCTGGGGAAAAATAAACCTTCAATCATCAAAGACTAATATTTCTTGACTGAATCAGTGTAAAACATGATTTTCTTCACCATACTATAACTTCCAGAATGCTCAAGTCAAATTATGGGGAGCACATGTTGAGAAGCAAGTTTTTTCATTGTATATCTGTATATATAAATAAGCAGTGCATGTACAGCTTTAAAAGTTTGGTCCAGCTTAGAAAGATCACCCGTAAGCTTTAATAAATCCCTATATTCCCAAACCCTGGGTTTTGTTGAGACGAAAGACCAGACTCAGTTGCTTTCTATCTGTCCCACTGTACCAAGAATCTGGTCACTGATACCATTTTCTTAGTGTCTACTATGTTGGAATACAGATAGTGCATAGGTCCTTCCTTTCTTTAATTTGGAATTTAACTGGACCTATTACAGTACCCTTTTAAGTAATTAATGAAGGAGCATGGTGGTTCACCAGGTTAGGACTTTGGGCTGATAGTCTGTAGGCTTGTGATCAAAACCCGGTTACTGCTGCGGGACAAGGCAAATTCCTGTCACATGCTCCAGTTCCTGCCAACACCCAGCAGTTCAAAAATGACCAACTGCAAGTAGATAAATAGGTATCACTTTGTTGGGCAACTTAATGGGGAAATGAAAGGAGCCCCCAACTGGGCGTCTACTGTGCCCAGGAAAGGAGTGAAGTTGCACATGCAACCAGCTTTCGCAGATTTCTCGGGTGATGCACAGGCCCACCACAATTGCCAAGTTAACTTCTGCCTTTTGATCTGGCAGATCTTGTCTTTGGACTAATTACCTGTGATCAAAACAAGGCAATCAAAGGCAGACTCCAGTCCCATCACCCATCTTCAGAAATGTGTGTGTATGTGAAGTTTAAAATTTTAAGATGTTTGAAGATACATACATTTTATACAAAACAATATTTAAATCTATCCCTCTGTCTATATACAGACCGAAAGGAGAAAAAAAAAAGTAGCTTGTATCATAGAGATGAAAAACAACATACAAAACGCATGTATAGCAAATATTATAAAACATGTATTTGTAGTGCAAGTTAAAAGTACAGGGGACTCTACCTATACTGGCCAGCTCGAGGGAAGCACATGATTCTGAGTAATCAACAAGAGCCCCCAAATTCAAATTCTTCAGAGTTGACAGTATTAACAGTATACAAAAATATGCTGAAAATTTACACATTACACATAAAGTACTTATTTTTTTAATAGTTTACAATAGAGATCTACAGATATGTTTCCAATTTAGCTGGCTTCTTACTATCCACCCTATTTTAATATCATAGGTGTGGTTACATATATCAAAAACAATCTCAAAGCATAGCTATACAGCAACGTATTAGGGTCTGAAGATGAGACCAATACATGTTAAATATTTCACTGGCTTACTAAATTGACAGTTTTCATTTACAGTTGTTGTTTTAATCTTAATAGGTTTGTCTTTGAGACGAAAACAAAATGTCCTTTATTAATAACCTCTTCAGTATTACAACAATGGTATGAGGCTTTACACAGAAGCCCTCTTAGGCGTTCTGCAAGAGAACAAGGTGTGTGTGTGGCTTTTCTTTTTATAGCAGGCTTTCTTAATGATGTAATAACAGTTCTGTTTTAATTGGGTTAAACTAATTATTGTTTTCAGGATATTTCTGAGTTCATGTTCCCCAGGTATTAAACACATGTTTAGTTGATTGTTTGGTCTGAACATTTGTGTCTTTCTAGTCTGTCCCCACAACCCCTAGGGCCTAGGGCAATACATAGTCTTGTTTGATCGCATTACACAAAAATAAATAATGCACTGTTAATTCTAAAAACTACAAGGAACAGATAGGGCACCTATGGCATAACAATATAAAAATCAAGTAAGCCACGGGATAGATACAGCAACTCCACTTAATGGGTTTTTCCTGTTTTTTTCCTTTCACAAATTCTTCCAGTGTTTATTTTTTTAAAAAGGTTTTCTTTCTTTTTGTTCTTTCTTGTTAGTATTTCTGCTTTCCTAAAAATGCTTCATGCCTATCTCACTAACCAAGTAGATGAAATGTAGGATAAGGCTTCACGGTTTTGCATCAGATGACTGCTTAAAAACAAAACACGAAACAATGAAACCAAGTTTCAATTCAGTCAGACTAGTACCGTTTTGTTTTTTTCTTTTGTTTTTCTTTTTAAAAGCCACGGATGATGTATTTTTTTGTTTCCTTCTTTTTGAATGTTTTTTTTCTTCCTTTCTTTCCAGAGGGGAAAAAAATATACATATTCCAAAATATGCTCCAATACATCCTTTAGCTGCATTTGCAAGACTTTACAATCATGTTTGACAGCTGTTCAATTTTGGGTGCTTTGCCAATGTAATACAAGATAGTGAGGGGTTCCAGATCCTGGGATACACAGCATGGAGATGCAGATGCTTCTGGGTTGATTGAGTTATACAAGCTAAGCACCTAGGAGGAAAAAGGAAAAAAAAAGAAGATACTTCTTCACATTCTGCTTATCACGGTGGCAAATAACTTTGGATAACAAGGAGCCTAGGGCTCTGACGGCACCATTGACACGGTGAGAATTTATTCATTTAAAGTAATTATATCCAAATTCTTTTTCTCTGTAGAAGCCTAGACAGCTGGAATCAATGAAAACACAGATATGTAAAACATCCAAACAGTAGAGAATTTTCACAGCAGTGAATTACTTTTTTTTTTAATGAAACAGCTGTAGATTAAAAAAAGAGACACCAGTGAAAATACTGAATATTTTTTAAAATGAAAGGTTTTCTCAAGACCCTAGGCTTCACAAGAGGGGATAGAGTTGAAAATTGCCTGTCATTCTTTGGCTTATTTTGAGGGAGCAGTTGATAAAATTATGTAAAATAACTGTTAAAAACAGTAAGGGAGAGAAATAAAGTGCCTCATTAACTTTTTGCTTGTTGCCATCACACACACACATACATACACACACACTCCCCAAGAGTCAGGGCTGGCCTCACCTGACCTATTGCTGACAGCTTCTTAGTTCCACATATTTTAACTTTCAGTCCAAAATCATCTTTCCAGAATAACCAATCAAATCATTAGCAGAACATAGTAACTCTAGCCCTTTCCCACTATAAGTAGTTCTCCACTTACTAACTTTTCTACATTTAGAAAAGACTGTCCAAAGTTACAACAGCACTGAAAAAAAGTAACATATGACTGTGTTTCACAGTTATGACCTTTGCAGCATCCCCATGCTCATGTGATCAAAATTCAGGTGCTTAGCAACTGGTTTATACTCATGACAGTTGAAGGGTCCTTTGGCAACCTTCTGACAAGCAAAGTCAATGGGGAAATCAGAGTCACTTCACACAACCAGGTTACTAATTTATCAAATACAGTGATTCACTTAGCAACTGTGGCAGGAAATGATGTAAACTGGAAGGGTGGGGAATCACTAAACAAATGTCTCACTTAACAACAGAAGTTTTGGACTCAATTGTGGTTGTAAATTGTGGTCTACCTGTATTGTTCTATCACCACTGAGCTCTGAAAGCGTATCTTCTCAAGATAAATGGATTGTTTCTATTTAGGTGAAGGGTAAAATATTTAAAAATCTTAAAATTTATTTATTTATTTATTTATTATTTTATTTTATTTATTTATTTGATTTGCCAATTGTTTACAAGATAATAAGTATAAGTGTATACATAGTTGTGAATACATGAAATGGGTACATATAAGAAAAATAAAAGAAGAATAAGAGAAACAATAGGACAGGGACGGTAGGCACGTTGGTCCTACAGACCTCTTAGGAAAGGGGTGAGGTCAATAGTAGACAGTCTAAGGTTAAAGTTTTTGGGGTTTGGGGAAGAAACTACAGAGTCGGGTAGAGTATTCCAAATCTTCTAGGTGAAGGGTAAAACACATATTTCTACTGTCAGGCATCAGAACCATTATTGAAGGTGCTCTAGTTATTAACTGCTGTATTTACCACTGATTCATATTTCTTTACACTGTTTTTTTTGGCAGCAGGATGCTGCATGGAGTTGATTGGGTTTTTTTTTAAAGCACCAGATAAGAAAGCTGTGCTTTGTACCAAAGGAGTGGAGCATGTATCCAACCTTGAGTTTTTGAATTTAGGTTTTCTTTAAATGTGAGAGCCAGAGTCAACTCTACCATTAGTGTATTCATCCTATGGTAGAATGGAATGGACCCCAATTTAAACATGTTTATATGGCTGCCATTTTTATACATCCTTCTTAGGATTCACAGCCATAACTGTGACTTTTGTACTGACACGTACAGTAGATGTTCTTTTTATAAGCCACATTGAAATGAATCGGAACTGCTTAAAGACCCAGTATTCATCCAAACGATGCAATCACAAGAAACAGCACATTGCAACAGGCTGTGCAGACTCTTAGCAACATAAAAGGGTCATTGCCAAGATCTTTTAAAAGCAGGACTTGATGAATTTTTAGTTTTTGCAGAATAAAAGATAGGAAAGGGAGGGTGAGTGGGTACATTGGAAATGCCTTGGAAGAAGAGTAAAAGTGACTGATGTTACAGATATAGGAGATTTCATAGAAAAGGAATCAAAGAAATGAAATCACAAGAAATCATAGAGTGGACAAAACTGGTCTAGGTGACTTAATAGGATCACTCAGTCGGTGGCAACTTCACATAGTACTTTTAAATATGTTTTCCCACAGTGAAAGGAAAATCGCTTATTCTACCAAGATAATACCGCTAAAAAGGTGGAAAAAATAGAAGAAACATCTCAGCTTCAAAATATACAGTACAGTAACGACAGGGCTAGGATCAAGAGTAAATCTTTTGCATACTGAATAGTCTGAAGGAAGAAGAACAGAACATGAAGCTGAACAGAGTGCCAATCTCCCATCTGTTTTGAAACACTGTTCACACTGAATTCTGCACATTCAGTAGGAAGATTTATCAGTATTTTCCAACAAAGGTAATAGCTCACAGGATCACTGAGGCAGAACTGGTAGGTATAGCATAGCTTTTCTGAGAAAAATATAGTGGTAATGGCTGAACAAGATTGTGACCCCAACATCATTGAGCATGAAAAATCAAAGTGGAACTTAAAATAAAATGTTCCAATGTTTCCCTCAATACAAGGATTGCTTTTGCTGCAAAATCATCCTTTGATTCCTCTTGAGTTTATTTACATACTCAATCTGGATATGAAGTACAGTTTTTCTGCTTTTAAAATGCTCTTACCCTTTCCTTCAATTTCTGTCAACAGTATATGCCATAATAATCAGATTTTTTTTAAAAAAAGTTGGGTAAATGATGTGTTACCATGATATGATCTATCAATTAAATTAATTAAAAACATATTTTAAACTGACGAACTAGGTTTTGTTCTGCTTTATAGCGCTAATATTACTTAGTTTTCTAAAATACTTACTCTACTGTGCTGAGTATCTGAGCTCCATAAATAGGGACAAGCTCCGGCACAGAAATTTGCATGATATCCTTTAGGTTCATGTATCCATTTCCATCCAAGATCTCTCTTGAAATCAATATAAAATGGACGTAGACAGCAGTTATCTTGCACGTTCCTGTAAATGGAGTTATAGACAAGATAGTTAATAAGGTTTTGCCAGTCAGAATGCTCTAATGCAGTGCAGATTCCTTAATGCAATGAATCATTCAGAAATGCAACAAACAGCCTCTTCTGTGGGTGAATTTTATGAAATCCACAGTTTACTGATATTTTTAGATCACGCTTTCAGAACTGTCTTATTAATAAGATCTACTTTCCAGCTTGTCAGAAATAAACCTGAGGCTAGGCATAGGACTCTCTCTTAAGAATTTTCCATCATAAAACTGGATGGACAGAAGAGTAGTTCATGCAAAATTCAGTTTTAATAAATAGGGCTTATGATGGGGGGTCAAGATTATGGCACAGGAAAAAAAACAATTCTTTAATCAAGTTCTCCCACCTCCAGAATGGCCATTTTTAAAAAGGCACATTAAATTACTCTTTTGCTCTAATTCTCAATCTGTCAGATTGTAGTAGGCAGAAATCTTTGAGTTTACACATAGAAACACAAACACACACATTGTGAAATTTCATATACTATATTTTCATACTTTGTGCCACTCCGAGTTCACAATGTACAAGTATTCATGCATATGAAGGAATTAATAAATGAAATGTTAAGCATCATATTGTAATTACATAATTATATAATTAAATTCAGAGTTTTTGAAAGGATGCATTAAAATAGCACATGATTGACACTTCATGGGCAAATTTATTCAGGAAAGATTATTTCTTCACTTCTCATGTGTGTCTCTTTGTGTCTCACTTTGTTTTGTTTTTATTGTTTGGGGATCAGAGGGCCTAAAATATAATATGATATAATGAAAAAGATAACATAAAATTTAAAAACTGTAATCTGCTTCTTTCCAGCTAGGACTTTGGAAGGAAAAAACGCATAATAGTGGTTGTTTCACCTGAACTAATAAAGGCTTTGCATATGTTATGGATTGTTAGGATTTCTTGCAGACATTTCAAGTTTCTGTTTATATCTAATAATTTTGTATGTGCAATCAGTCATAACTAGATATTATTCTCACATTCATCTCTAATACTAGCTACAGATTTTTATTTGTATCCTTAAGTAAATTATATTTTTAGGTTTCTCTGTGTCTGTTTAGGAGAATGGATATCAAATATGTATTATAAGCTAGAGGAAAATAGAATAAAAATTGATCCTGGTGATTACTAGGGTCTTTGAAGAGATGGATCTTGTTCTCATTACTGTAGCTAGAAGAACACCTGCAACCAGTGGTGAGCTGCTGCCGGTTCGGACTGGTTCTTGTGAACTGATTGTTCCGATGATCAGCTGGCCCTGCCCTATCCTGTCCTATATTTCCATCTTTTTCAGCTCAACTGATTCGCGCGGCACAGTGGATTTTGCATGCCTCAGCTGTTCTACTTCAAATTGGTGTTTTTTTAATGCTGTGTGCATGCGCACAGCACATGTATGTGCGCAAAGCACGTACTCACAGAACTGGTTGTTAAACCAGTTACAACCCACCACTGCCTGCAACCAATCTTCAGGAGCAAGATTGGGATGATGCCTTAGCCATTCATGAGAAAAATATGGGTCCTCTGTTGTCAGGCAGTCTGTTTTTCAAGGAACAATTTCTTTGAACAATGGACTAAACCAGCTCTAACTGAAAGTGAAGGGGTGATAGCAGCAGGACTTTGAAGCTGTTCCTTAGCAATCAGCACCAAAAGGCAGATTCAGCAGATGTACAACTTGTACTAAGATGTATCCTTTGTTTAATTTCTGTAGTTACCCAGATGAACAAGCTATTCTGGGAAGCTTATATCATAACAACATTAAAACAATACTCTTTCTGTCTTTACAATAAAACTATTGTCATGCATATTAATATAGCCAAGAAAAGGGGTCCTTCACACACTAGAGATAGGTGTGTGTGTGTGTGTGTGTGTGTGTGTGTGTGTGTGTGTGTAAGGTAAATTATCAGGTCTTCATGGCCTTACAAAAAGCCAACAGGTTTGGGATCCTAATCTCTGAGGAGAAAATGTTCCAGAGGTACGGGCTATCATAGAAAAGCCACATCTCCTGGTCCTGGCCAGTCAACACTTCTTGACTTATGGGACCCAAAACATTCTCAACTTGCTAGACCCAATATATATATTATTTTGAGTTGAGTGTGATTTTTGCATGAATATATCCATGCAATTTTCTTGGGAACAGAAGGTGTTTATCATACCATACCATAGCTTCCCAATCTGACCTCCTATTGTGCTGGTATTCTTTAGAAGGCTATATTCAGAAAGGTGCCTATTTATCTTCCAAACCCAGATAAGATCAACCTAATGCTCTCACCTGTTAAAATCTATTTTTACAATTGCATCCATATAAATAAATTAGCAAATGAAAAATTTATCCCTAGATGGATGCTCTTAGTTATGCTATGCGTGTAGGTGAGGAGGACCAGAGAAATCTTCCTTTAACTTGGCATTTAGGCTGTTCCAGTAACAACAAATTTTTGAGCATTTTACATTTGTATTGTCTGATTATTGTTGCCATTAAGATGGGGTTTTATTGGTTTTTATATTGGGGTTTTTAATTTTCTAAGTTGCTTAGAGTTATCATGAGTTGGACAGTCATATATATTTTCTTAATGAGTAAATAAACAAATAAATTAATTCATAATTTAAGTAATGGGATTAAAACAAAATATAGCCATAAAATATAATCATATAATCAATATAATCACTTGCTTCCTGATTAATAAATAAGCAATGACCTAACATCTATAAGAGCATCCCTACAACAAGAATGAACAAACCTGAAGGGCTTGCCAAAAAGCCATTTTTTTCTTAATTTTAAAAGAACCCAAGGAATTGTGGCCAACTTCATCTCAGGGGAAAATGGTGTTCCAAAGAAAGAGGGCAATGATCCAGAAAGTGCAACTTGGTGGCTCCCGCAAGTGATTCTTCCTGTGGATAGGGATCTAGAGCAGAACAATCTTTCCAGCACTGTAGATTAGCGGGGTGGTGGTGGTTCCACACGGTGCCTGCCGCTCACACAAATGGATTGTGCGAGCATGTACTTGCCTGATGCTTGCACAAGAGGGGATGCCATGCGGGCATGCTTGCCCACCACTTGCACAGCCCAGTTTGAAACAGCTCAAGGCCCGGGAGTTGGGGGACCCCGATCTAGAGGAAGCCTTCCCTTCTAGATCTTATTATACAAGCAGCAACTACCAAAATTGTTTTGGTCCTCCGGATATCTAGGACTGGGTCACATATGCCTTTAAAGGAGAAGAATAGTACCATAAATTGCAGAAGCTGGAAGCCAATTGATAACTTTGAAGTACTTGTGATATGTGGACAAATTAACTGATTTCCACAAGCTCTGTTTTCTGGACCAGTTTCTAGGTCTTCAAATATTCCAATGCAATAATCAGAATGACAGGTGAGCAAAGCATTCCCGAAACAGGAAAGGTCACAATTAATGCACAAGATGGGATGATAGAAAAGCCTTCCTAGCCACTGTTGCCACCTAATTCTTTTCCTGGAGTTGTGAGTCCAGGAGAATCTCCCTATTACAAGCCAGTTTTGCACATGAAAAAGCAATCCTTCCCAGTGTCAAAAATGGAATATTTTGCTATAAGAAAGGTTTGAAAAGCCACTGTCTCTTGATGCAACTGAGCCTCAATTACTCCTTATTCAGACCCTAACTGGTTCTAAGCACTTTCAGCCACATTTTATGATTCCTGGTACTACATTAACAGCTGCTCAATTACTACATGATTCTGAGCATATGCTCTTGTTTTATACATTTGAGACATATAACTAGAGCATAATGATTCTATTTGTTTAATTTTTCAGATTGGAGATAGACTACTTTTTGAACAGCCAAAATGTCCCAGGGATTTTTTAACTAGTGCAAATAGGTGCAAATAAAAGCAAATGTTATTCTTCAGTAAAAATGCAGTTAGTATAGATTGCCAGAAATGAACAAATGAGATTTTGGTTTGAATATATAATCTGATGTGTATGAAGTTCCTCCCGCCCTCCCCCGCCCCCCACCAATTCTTGATCTGATTGTTGAATTTATGAAGCAGCTGCTCAATGGTTCCTTTGCCAACTATCCTGGAGAAAGTGTCTTCATCAAAGCAGCCACCCAAGTCCTTCAGCAGCTGTAGCCCTTCAAGATTTTGAGGAACAAATCCAGAGAAATACAAACTTTTATCCAAAGTTATGTGGGAGGGGTGGAGTGGGAAGTGACATATATCCCTTTCAACAGAATGCTGTTAAAATTATAAATAAAAAGCATATTTTTTTAAAAAATGGGCTACATTAATATTTTAACACATGCATAAAAGCCCATAACATCTTTTAATAGTTACCTAAAACAATAGGCAGCATCTAAAGCACGCTTCTTCCGCCGACTGGATTGTTGCGACTCAAGTCTGTAGGAGGGTAATAACATTAGCAGAAGATGTGGGCTCTTCCCACTGTATTTTTTCCTACTGGACTTTAAAGCTTTCTCACCACTGGAATAAGGGTGGTCATCAATACCTTTAAAAAATACATTTTGGTAATAAATATTGTGTTGCTTTTTTTTTATACAAAATTACATAAAGTATCTCTTCACAAGAAATTTAAATCACAGAATAATAATCAGGTGTGCTGGCATCAGCTGGGCTGATTTAAGACATGCTGATACATGAATATGGGAAGCAGGGGCCTGCATTGAATTAAATATCCTATATTCTTATTACCTCTGCACCATTTGAGATCAGGAACACTTGCTTCATTTATATCAAGTCATAGGATCGGTTATAGGTTTCCTTATCCCACAATTATTATAAATATCAATATAATATTTATTTAATCCCAAGCAAAAATTCAATTCTTTTCAATGCAGGGCCATAAACAATAGTGTGTCATTTTAGACCCATGGAGATGGAGATCTAAAAGAAGCAGATAGAGCACAGGTGTCAAACTTGATCGCGTCATGTGATGTATCATGACGGATCGTGACATTTTCTGCCTTTGTGGAGCTGGGGTGACCGTGGCCTTCAGGTGATGTATTCAGCCCGCAGGGCCCCAGTTTGACACCCCTGAGCTAGAGAATCAGCCTCAGTGAAGCAGGAACCATAACACAAGTAGTTAACACAGATAACATGTGAATCTAGTTACCTACATTGCCATATAGACTCGATTAATATGCTTGGATGTACCTTTTGGATACATCTAAGCAGGGGTGGGATTCTACCAATTCACACCTATTTGCTAGAACCAGTTGCTAACATTCTAAGCAGTTCAGAGAACCAGTTGTTAGAAGAAATTACTGGCCTAATCCTGTAAGGAAGGCAGGAAGGAAACATTCTGGTGTTGCTTACAGAAACTGCCTCTCCATTAACCCTTATTACATTCTTGGCAGGACTAGACTTCCTGTCTCTGGAACTTCTCTGGAGTTTTTTTCCCCTTCCTTTGCTGGTACTTTGCTTGCATGGAGTGACCATTCAAAGTTACAAAGGCACTGAAAAAAGTGACTTATGACCATTTTTCACACTTACGCCTGTTGCAGCATCCCCACAGTCATGAGAGGCCAGGCGAGGAGATACGTGCCTCAATGTGAATGATATTGAGTTGGCCACACCCAGCCAATAACATGACCACCAAGCCACATCCACCCAGTCACATGACCACAAAGCCACACCCACCACCTAAGCCACGCCCACAAAACCGGTTGTTAAAAAATTTGAATCCCACCCCTGCATCTAAGGTCACCAATTAAGATAATGGCCAGGGTTGAAATTAATCATTTACATTTTGAATGTGTGTTTCTCTGAGCATCAGTGCTTAGCACATAAAGAGTTTATGGCTGGATGCTCAAAATCATGAATCCCTAAGCAAGTTGCAAGATGAATACACAAAGATCACATAGGCAGAAAGATTTGCATGAGTACTAATGAAGCTAGCAAGAAAATTATACAAAGAAGTAACATATTAAACATGTTTTAATCGATTGTCATACTATTTTAAACAAAGATACAATCAGCAGTTTTTACAGAATGCTACACCAGATTTTGAAAGCAATTGTTTAAGCATTTCTTCTCCCACACCGTCTGACGCTCCATATTTTCTTTCACTAGTTGGATATATTATATGATCTGTTGAAGCATTTCACGTTCATTACACAATTATTTTATTTTTAAAAATTTAGTTATTACCTGCAAATCTTGCCTCTAATTCTTCACTTTTATTTGGGATAATATAGTTATTTGAAGGCACAAATGTGCAACATGGGCAATGTAAACTGATCTTAAGCCCCAAATTTCTGTCTGCAAAATATAAGAGAAAGAAAATTTGCTTTATATCAGGTCAGGCAAGACTTCAAACTGTTCAAATTTAATACAGGTTAACCCTAACATAATTAATTACTATCACCTTTGTGGTGGAGCCACTCATGTACAGCCTCAGTTACATCAAAAGATAACCATTCTCCCTCAGCTCTTGTTTTCACGACCTTGCTATCGATATAACGTTGTGTAGGTGATGTGGGATCTTTATTTTTGATCATCTGTAAAATAAGAACATTTATATCAGTGATATGGAATTCACACAATTTAATTTGAAAAAAAAAGGACTCAAAACAGAATATAGAAAATAACTACAAACCTCAAGAGATTGCGTCATCAATCTATCTACCTACCGATCAATGTCATGAAAACAGATTCTGACATAGTGCTTTGACTACACAACACAATTACAAGAAAAAATATGGAAATAATTTGTAGAGATACACAGCTCAACTGCACAAGTGAGATTCTTTTCTTTAAATGGAGATTGTGTACACAAACTTCTATTGCTTTACCGTAACTTGAAATACATTTAAGAAAATTTCCTGATGTCATTCTTTTTTCACCTAATTATTTATGATCCAGTTCTTTTCCTTTATGTTAAAGTAACCCTAACAATATTTTAAACCAAGGCAAGACAGATAGAAATCTATCTCAAGATTTTAATTCCTGGGTGTACCTTTTGTGAACAAATAAAAGGTTTAGTAATGTTTCTTTACTAGAGAAAAATGGATAAATCTGTTCCTCAGATTTATTTTTTTACATTCCTGCATGAGTGTGTGAAACCCAGTGTTATGAGTTTGATCCAGACTTCAGTAGGCTTGTTTCATATTCATAGCATTATGGGAGTCCAAATTGTGTCCAAATGAACATTTAAAGATTGAGTTTAATATAGATTTAACACATCCTATACCTACTTTAAGATGAAACCAAGATCTTTCCTCCCTTAGAAAATATTGTACAATTAGTTGCTAGGAGTCATAAATGACTTGATGGCACATAATCAATTGGAAATCCAACACCGATGGGACAGGACAAATATCCCATTCCAGATATTATCAGAATGGATTAAAGCAAACATATTCCTAGAGGCACTAAGCTAATTTTCCCTGCATCAAGCGCAATCCAGACAACACTCATAAATTGCAACTGAGACACTAACAATACCAAGAACTCAGTTCACCTGTCAAGTATAAGTCTTTAACTTTTCTTGAAATGTCTTTCACAATAAACATCCAAGTATTTTGCTTTCATCAAAGTATAATTATGGCTTCCTACATTTAGGCTGTTTCTAGGCATATACTTTGCCCAAATCATTTTTGTGTTTCTTGGCTGGATGCCTTTCTTTGTACATCATCTCAAATGCCTGCCCAATGAATGTTAAATGTGGCTTAGGAACACACAATCTGCTTTTTTACCACTGAGAATTACCATTTCTCCATTTGTCTCAGAAGATAATGATAAACAATACTTCTTCTTACTTTCTCTCTCTTCCTTTTTCTGTCTTTTCACTGTCTTTCTCTCTTGTTCTCCTTCTGGGATAGTCTTCAAGCCTTTTCTAACTGAGCTTTCATAATTTGATATGTCTGTTTCTTTTCTCTTGGTATACATCCTTTTTTTCAATTAAGTCTTTTAAGTCTTCATTTTGCTTTTGTTTCCTGGAAACCTTATAGAGAAATTCCATTATCTAGATGAGAAGCTAGTCCTCAGTAAAATCCCAGTCTGGATAACTGATTGTTTCTTAATTCTTGTATACTCAGTTGATTTGTAGGTTTCTGAACTACTGGATAGTAGCATCTTCAGAAAAACAATGCCACAGGTGGGAAGCAATTTCCTAGTGCCAGATGAATTCCATAAATATTCAGTTTCCCTAAAAGATGCATTTTTACAACATAAATGCAGATTTGGACACACCCTAAATAGACTGGATGATCAATTTCAAGTTGTGAGTGGTCTTGAATCTTGCTCTCCAAATAAGATCTTAAAGAAAGCCACAGACATATAGGATGAGGGAGATATTTTGCATACCTGGCCCTAGTCTATTGAGAGCTTTAAAGTTCAAAATAGTTTTATGTCTGGGCTCCAAAGGAGCTTGTTCTCTGGGAACATTGCTCATGTCATAAATGCTTAGGGCTGTGTCTTCCCAGGCAAAGCAAAATAATTAAATTAAAATCCAGATGCTAAAGAGGGATGTCACTACAGTCAAGTGATTCACACTGGTGATATGTTAGGAGGAAAACTGAAATGTCTCTCAAACACAAGCTACTCCCTGTACTACATCTACTACAATCTGCTTTTTCCAAACTTTCCTAGAATATTTTATCTTTGAAACATATATCGATTTACCTCTTCTCACCGACTAAAATTTATTTATTTAACAGTTTTATATGACCTCTTAAGCAAATCTGGATGGCTTACAACAACCATAAAACAAATCAAGCCAATAAAACAATGAACAAAAACCCTGTGCCTTAGTTGCCCTTGGGATGCTCCATAGCAGGCTCTGTTATCCTCCTTCCATGTAGACATAGAAAACTCATGCTATTGAGGTCCTGCTAGATGGCAAGATTTCAGGAAGGGGACTTGGAACATGCCCATCTCCTCTGATCTAGTGGGATGGGCAGATATTCTTAAGGAAAGGTGGTCCCACAAATAGTCTAACTCCTTGCCATGTGGGGCTTTAAACTAGGACTTTGAATTGCATGTGAAAGAAGTGAAGCCAGTGCAGCTCAGTCAATTAAGATGTTACACGGGCAAATCTAATGGCAGCTGTTGTCTTCCAGACCAGTTGTAACTTTCAAATGGTCTTCAAGGGCAGCCCCATGTAAAGCATATTGCAATAATCCAGGTGGAATGTCTATGGAGAGTCATCCAGGTCATGGTTGTCCCAAAGGTGCTTTTCAAGAAGCAACTGGACTTTCTGGTTTTTCTTTCAGAAGCAAAACATCTTCAAAGAAAAACCAGGAAGTCCAATTGCCTCTTGAAAAAACACCTATGTGATAATCCAGGTGTGAGGTAACTAAGGCGTGAGTGACTGAGCAAGGTCTCCTGATCCAGGAAAGGGTGCAAACGGTGCACAACACAAATCTGTACAAAGACTCCCACCCTTAGACATGGCTGCCACTTGCTCATCAAGCAGGAGCCATGCATCCAGGAGGAAACTCAAATTGTGTACCCACTCAGTCTGTAGAAGTGGAACCCCATCCAGAGTCAAAGATCAGGCCCCATGGGGCCAAAACCCAAAGGCACTCCATCTTGCCAGGGTTCCAGGAATTTCAATAACTCCACAACAGTATCAGTTGCTTGGCCCAGAGTAGAAAATAATAATTTCATATCATCAACTGTACCCCATGTTGTTGGATAACCTCATCCAGCAATCATGTAGATGTTAGAGGAGAGGTGAAAGAGTCATCATCAACATCAACTGGAACTATCCATGGAGAAAGAAGGAGAGCCACTGCAAACTATTGCCTTCCACTCCCAACCCCTAGAGCTAGTCCAGAAGGATAACATGGTATCAATGTATCAAAAGTCACGGAGAGATCAAAAGTTCCTGAGAGATCCAAGAGATCCAGGATGGTTGCACCATCCCCATCCGGAGCCCTCCAAAGGTCATCGGCAAGCATTACCAATCCCATCTCAGAGCTATACATTGGCCTGAAAAGAATCCAGGTAATATGACTCAACCATTTCATTATTCAAGATACAGTTTGATCATCCTCAAAATGTTATTTCACCACATTCAAAATCTTTGGGTTTACAGGATTTTTCCTTACTCTTGTCTCATATCACAAGACTTCTTATTTACTTCCAGCTGTCTTTCTCTGTCTCTTGAAATCAATTATGAAAAACAAAACCTTGGAAATAAATGTATTTTTTAAAAAATGTTATTTTCATTATGGTGAGGTCAGAGTGAAAAAAATGGGAGGTGTCACCATCCTCTGGGAAGATAAAATGGAGAAGAGGGCCATACAGGGTTTCTTTAACTTGCCAGAGGAAAGATGACTTGACAGTTTAATAAACATACTAAATATTACCATAGTAGGTATATAACATAATAAATATAATAAACATACCATTCTGCCTCTTACTATGCCCAAATATTAAGCAGTGGCCTTAGCATAGATGCCTGCTTCTCTCTCGCTTGCTTGAAAGTGATTAATGTTGTTGGCTGTTTGCTGAAAAGTGTTTCCAGGATATTTCCCATGAATAACTTTTGACAGCAGGATTTTGGCAACCTCAGCCACCTGCTAAATTCTGCAGGTCATGTTATTCTGTCAGCTGGCCTTCCTTAAAGCTATGTAGCTGCAAAGGGAAATAGTTCTGCAGAAGCGGAAGGCAGTCGGGGTCTTTCTTTTGGCTTCAATCAGCTTTGGAGCTGGCAGGCACTGAGAACAGAGTGTGGACCTTAACAAGCTATTGTACGAGGTACAGCACACTTGCCAAAATACAAAAGGTACATATGACTTGCCAAATGTTTTAAAGCCGATAGTTCTGTGATCCACTTCCTGTGATCTTGCCAAGCACGTTCATCATGCAAGATTGCAAATAACAAGGACATGTGGCACACTACATAAACCCTGCTTATAGGTTGTATGGGGGTAACACAACTATAGTGGATATTGATTGCTCATAGTATAATAACAGTCTCCTAACAGTGGCTTCAATTTCCTCTGTTCGTACTTCTCATAGTAAAAACTATCATAGTTTAAAAATGAAAAAATTCTAGCCTTCATGTCTGTGAGAAAAATATGTTAGGATTCTAAGAAAAAGCTACCATGGGCCTTGCACCACTATCATTTCTCTGATGTTTCATCTTTATTTTAATGCCAGTTCTTTATCTTGGCTGCTATAAGCACCACACCTCAGTGTCTGTAATCTCTACAGCTTACACAAGGATAAAACAGTGCTCCAAGTTTGTCTTTCTTCCTGGGCCAAATATATTTTATCAAAAAGTCATCTTTGCCAAGATTTTTTTCTTGCTAGAGGTTAAAATGTATTAAGCTGTGAAAATATTGAAAATGTAATTTATTTTTGGCTTGTTTGAGAAATGATTACTGTGAATTCTGTGTATTTTGATGTACCCATCTGCAGTCATGCAAAGAACTGAAGACAAGTGTACAGTTAAGTGTTCAATGAGGCTTTTATTAAAAAAAAAATGGGATGGGCTACAATACAATAGCTGTCGCTATTTGCATAAGCCGGTTTGTTTCTTTGACACAAGCACTGATACATCCCACAGTAAAGCTGCCATATTACACCAGACTTCCTCCAGTGTACCCACTTGCATTAGCAGATTCCCCTAGGGGAAATCAATTGATAGCTGTTGTTTTTTATTAATCATATTCTAAAATAATTTATGGGGATCAAATGATTTAAAGAAACTGAAACTGGGACAAAAGAATTTCATTATAAAAGTATTGTTCTCCATCTTAAAAGTTAGCCAAAACATACCTTCAGATCTTGAAGACATTTTAATACCTTACCTCATTTTTGCTTTGAACACTCTACATTGGGTTCACTCAAAAGAATGCATAAATAGCATGTGACCAAGAGGGCCTTTGCACACCTTTGTCTATGTGCCAGCTGTGACAGTTTCTGAATCAGATGGCTGTCTAGATTCTCATTCAAGCTTTAGCCATCACAGAGATGTATTTCTATAGGGTACTGTTCTTGTTCTATATGGAAGCTACAGTTGATCCAGAATGTAACAGCACAAGCAATGATGGTAATACCACAGTACATTTATATGAGGCTATTGCTTCTCGACTTGCATTGTTTGCTATTAGGCTTCCAGGTGCAATTCAAAGTGTTGACCATCGTCTATAAAGCTGTTCATGGCATTGGACTTTTCTCCTATCTCCCATAGCTCCTGCCCATCTGGTAAGATCAGTATGCCTCTGGTCCTATCTATTAATTAAACAATACCATCTGTTGGGACCCAATAGATTGTTGCAGCACCTGTCCTCTGAAATGTTTTCCTTCTCCTTTCCTATGTGCTATAGTACATTCCATTCCTTCCAGAAGCTTATCAAGTATATAGGTACTGTATGCTAAAGTCTCTGATAAGAGCAGCAGTAAAACCCCGGAGTTTGGCTCTATTTTTCATGATGCTTGATGTGCTATCAAAACATGACATTGTTTCCATGGGAAATCACTTGAACCTATGCTTGTTTTATAGTCTGTATAGACTATGGTGTATGTCTACTATATATAGTAACTAATGTACCATAAAAACAAAACTGCTACAACCATTTTCAAAATAAAGCAGAGGATGTTTCGCCCTACTTCCCCTCTTTGCTTGCTTTCCATGCCACAATGCCTATTTCTGTTTCAAATGCCTCTTTCTAAACTAGAAATGTGCCAAAGGTTACTTTCCTATTTTTCTTTGTATGCAAGAAGTTTCTTAATAAAGTAAAAATATCATGAAATCAACAAAAATGCTACTGAAGGCATGCGTTCAAAGACATTCCCACAACATCCAACCTGATTAAATTCTGATTAAATTCCAGCAAATCCTGGATTTGGCAACCATTTTTATAAGCAAAGGAAGAGATGCTGGATGTTTGAAATTGTTTAATCGTTTTATTTCCTCCCCTCCCCCAAGATTTTAAAGTAGTTTTAGCTGTTAATTGGAATAACAACAGAGAAACAATAGCAAAACTTCATTGGCAATTCAGACAAAGAATGGCCTGTCACAGTGCTGAGCCAGAAATTATTAAAAATCCTGTCTTTTTAAAATATAGGTAGTTCTCAACTTACAACAGTTTGCTTAGTAACCATTCAAAGTTACAACAGCACTGAAAAAGTGACGTATGACCATTTTTCACACTTATGACCATTGCAGCATGGTCATGTGATTTACATTCGGATGCTTGAAGACTGACTCACATTTATGACAGTTGCAGCTTCCCAGGGTCATGAGATCCCCTTTTGCAACTTTCTAACAAGCAAAGTCAGAATCTGGCTAAATGAAACCAGATTTATTTAACAAACATATTGATAATTTAAGAACTGCGGTGATTCACGTAAGAAATGTGGCAAGAAAAGTAAAACGGGGCAAAAAAATCACTTAACAAATTTCTTACTTGGCAACATAAATTTTGGGCTCAGTTGTGGTTGTAAATTGACTCAAGACTCAAGATATAATAACTCAAGACTCCAATTAACAGCTAATACACCTAGTATTCCTTCCTCCTCCTCTTTTTCCCTCTGAAGTGAACTGGGCCGAGGGAGAATGACTGATCTAAAGTCACGGAGCTGGCTTTTTTTGCCTAAGACTTGACTAGAACTCAGCCTCCTGGTTTGTAATCTGGTGATTTAATCACTGGACCACACTATTTTTATGGGGTTTTTAAAAAATCATTTATATTCATTGGACACACCTGTAACTGAAAAGCAAATTACTAAACTGGGGGTACAAATTAAACAGAAGAGATTCATCAAAAATATGAAAGGAAATTGGGACAATCATAATAGGAAATTGCAGAGACAATCCAAGCTATGAAATTGGGAAAAGCCCTTGAATTTGATGGCTTTCCAAAAAAACAGCTTCTATCCCAGGGTAGTAGCTCTGTTGAATTCTACTGTATAGTGCAGTGTTGATGTGGTGTCGGGGTTTTCAATTCAATGTGTAGAGTGTGAAGGATGTGTGTTTGTGTTTATTTTCATGGTCATGATGTGCACTGAAGATGGTGTTTGATTTCATTGTACAAAGTGCAATCACAAACTAAACTAAACTAAACTAAACTTTCCAACTGAGTGGTGCAGTACAGAAGTTTTATAGTCTTATTAGTATCTAAGCATATTTTTATCCTCAATGTGCTGTGTTTATCAAAGTAGTTTCATACTGTATGTTTTAACTTTGTGACCTGTCTATGTTAGTCTTTGGATTTGGCAATCTATAAATCTAACTCAGTAGCAAAAATAAGTTAAAAAGTGAAAACCTATTAAGGTTGGATCTTAATGTTAAGAATTCATGTCAAGGCCTAACTTTACACAAATTTGCCAGATGACTAAAAAAAAGGAAGAATAAAGTTTTGTTTTTTTTAAAAAAAACAAAACACTTTAGCCTAGATTACTTGAAAATGCAAGATGTATACCAGATTGGTGCCCCTGGCTTCAGTGGAACTAACTGGCTTTAAATCTGAGCAAGTTGATTTAACTGGATTACATATGAAGTTGCAAGTGAATTAAAAAGAGCATAAAAAGAGCTTGCTGGCACTGAACAGTTAGAAACAAAATAAAGCAAGCTCCTGGCTTTAATTCCATGGAACACAAAACAGCATCAATTGAACTAAGACAAAATGAGGTCAGGTGGGGTCACTGAGGATGAGAAGGACTCCACCCAGGACTCTGTCATATTTTTTTGCAAAGTAAAGCTGCAATCTTGGGCTTGATTTATTTGAGAATAAGTTGCACTGTGCTGAACTGGATTTGCTTCTAGGAAATCGTGCTGAGGACATAACTGAAACACTGTAATGATAAACATGTTTATATATGTCAGAAACAGTATGACACAGTGAGTAAAGTGTATCTAGACAGCCCTTGTGAATGACAATATATATCATATTCCATGTGTATTTATTATTTTTTAGCCCTAAATCTCATTGTGGCAACAGGAGCAACAAAAAAATATTGCTTGGATCATTCCAGTAAGTTACAAATTATGTTCTCTTCATGTTGGTAAAATAAGAATACTGACACCTTGTCTGTTGTAGCTTCAGATTCTGATTTTCCTCCTTAGCAGAACCACCATTTAATTTAAAAAGGAACCGCCGGTCACTAAAGCCTGAGGTACAGCCCCCAGACAGTTGCAAAAGGTGTGTACAATAACAGCTTTGTAATTTTTAATGTAGCAAAAGAGAAGAATTATTAAACAGACGATTGCAGATTAATCATGTTATCTATGTGCAATTTTAATTAAGTGCAAATGAAATGAAATCAGTTTTATTTTTTGTCCTAGTCTCATTTCTGTTTTTTGGAATGACGTCTGCAACATGGCTTTTGGCCTGGAAAATTTACTTCTCCCTGACTCACATGGAAAATCTAAAAAAGAAGGATCCAAAGCAAAAGATGCAATTACAATAATTCATTACAGTAAACCTTTCTTTGTATATATATTTAACATGGTTTTCAATAAGCTTCTAATAAAGATACAAAACTATCTTAAATTAATACATGCCTTTAAAAAGCAGGCATTTAAGGATATTTATGTATAATGTACATTTTAAAGTTAACTTTATATTGTTATTTTTTCTTTATGCAATCCTGGGAAATGTAAATTTAAAGAATGAGATTTCTCGGTTACAATGCCTGAGATCTCTTCTCATAAACTACACTGCCCAAAGTGTCCAAAGAAGAGAGAATGAATATTACTATCTATTTAACATTACAGTGTCTAAATGTGCTATAGAAAAATGTCGCATATTAAAAAAAAAACATATAAGGACAGCAACAATCAAAACTTTACCTGATACAGTTCTATCCGTTGTTCTGATACACGAGCTTTCGGATTCTGTAAGCGGAAGACTCTAAATTCTGCTTTCACTAAGTTGGAAGCGTTTTTCTCCATCGCTGAGACATCAAATCTCACTCTTCTAAAGTATGGGTTTTGATTGCTTGTTGAGATGAAATCTGCAAGAAATTAAAATTATAAAGACATTGCTTTTTTTCCCCCTTACAGGCTGCAACATAAGACAGACCCCAGAAACACTGACGGAAATGTCTGTAGGATGATACAACTTCCAGCAATCAATTTTGATATCATTACTGTTTAACCGGATAAACAAACATATGTGTTTGGTTACAGAAACAGCAGATTAATAGTGATCAGAAAAGAACATGCCCAAGTTTATTTCAGGGCATGCATTTAACTCTATTCTTGAAAGCGACCAAGTATTATAAAATTGAGACATACTTATGATAATTATATTTTTAAAAATGACCCAAATAGTTCCACAGTGGAGCTAAAAACCAGTAGTTATTCGTTTGCAATGACGATTTCAAACAGGAAAGCTCAACCTGCCTCAGTTAGGCAGCCCGGAAACATGCTGGGATTAAATCTACCAGAATCCCCAGCCAAACTCAGAATAAGTGATCCCATTTGCGTTAGAACTAACCATAAGTGGGAGAACCTATGTACAGTATCCCCCTGGAGAGCTGTTTGTTTCCTAACCTACAACAGTTGCACTAATCTTTTGAGAACCTGGCTTTGTTCCCAAGCCTGGGGTTAGGGGAATTGTCAAGCCTCTGTTAAGTTTCTTAGTTTCTTTTCTAAGTGTTAATCTGTTTTTCCAGATAGAAGTGTATTTTTCTTCATTTTGTTTCTTATTTTTGTGATATAAGCTAGCCAGTGTTGTTTGGAAGTCCAGTAGCTCTACATTTTATTTTATTTTTATTTTGTCAAGCGATTATAAGACAATAGGTATAAATATAAACATAGTTATGAATACATGAAATGGATACATATAAGAAAAATAAAAAGAAACAATAGGTAGGCATGTTGGTGCGCTTATGCACGCTCCCTACAGACCTCTTAGGAAAGGGATGAGGTCAATAGTAGACAGTCTAAGGTTAAAGTTTTTGGAGTTAGGGGAAGAAACCACAGAGTCAGGTAGAATATTCCAGACATTGACCACTCTGTTGCTGAAGTCGTATTTCCTGCAATCAAGTTTGGTGCGTTTTACCTTGAGTTTGTATCTATTGTGTGCTCTTGTATTGTTATGGTTGAAGCTGAAGTATTCATTGACAGGTAGGACAAATCTAATGCAATAACTGCAAACAAAGATGTAAAAAAATGCTTCTCTGTACTTCAACAGCAGCAGTTGTGGGGCAACTGAGAGCAGGTGTCCCAACTGATTGGGTGGGGGTGAGTGAAGCAACACCCCCACCATATCCACAATCATATCCAGTTTCTCTTTTGTAATTAGCCATAAGTATATGGTATCCACTATGGGTGGGTTGGAGAAATACTAATCATTCTCCCTTTCTGCTTTGCTTTTAAAAATTAATCCCATGTGCCTCTGTAGACAAGTAATCAAAGCAGGAGAGTAGGAGTTGCAAGGATAGTTTTATTTTTCGACTACCCTACTACCTGTTGGGCAGCCCCTTGAAATACTAACCAAAGCATCAGGGTAATATGCCACAACGGCTGATGAGTTGTAAGCCCATAAAAAAACTTGGCTACACATTTGGCAATTAACCACCCACAGAATAACTATTTCTAAACCATGAATGCATGTTCATGCACAGCCTAGCTCAGCAAACCATGCTGTGGTTATTGTGTAGTGAGAAAGTGCCAACTGAGGCAACAATGTGGACTTCAAAATCTTCATAGCTTATACTGACCACAGCTTTCACCACTTGGAAAGCGGTGAACCATCCCTGAATAACACTTTCAGATTTGAAAACACTCAAGAAAAGGAAGCAGTTCAGCCACAGTCATACCCACTAAATAGTTTATTTTTTAAAAAATATATATAAATATAAATAACTTTAGATGTAAAAGCAGGTCTAGCATAATGATATCCCAAAGAGAGGTTCTCAGATTCATTTGAAGGGTGTGTAATTTGCAAAGATATCAAAGAGCAGTGCTGAAAAGGCTCAGCCCCAGTTACAAATCCTGGTGCCTAAACAGATCAATGCCACTTTTCAAATCATCTTCTTTGATGCTGTTTTGTAGCATTTAGTTGCACGTCTTATTTTACACCACTGTTTACTATATAACAAATTTAGGATTAGCCAATAAAGTATTCCTTAACAGAATATTGCAAAGTTCCCATATTAGAGGTTGAGCTTTTCAAGATAAACACAGAAGTTACCAGCAAAGCATACATATGCTTAGGGTCTGCAATCAGTAAAAAAAAAACACCTCCTGCCAAGTAAATAACATATTGATACAAATACTGAAAGTATAAATTATTATGAACTACATAATTAGCAGTATAATTATTGTGTGTCAGTTTATAATGATATGTGAAATTTCATTAGACGGACACATTTCTGTGGTTGAAATTGAAAACCTTAGATTAAAAATCTATCAGAAAATCAGGTATTTTCAATTACTGTTTAAGGCAGAAAATATCAATCATTTAAAGAAAAGACATTTACTGAAATCAATCAATCACATTATCCATAGCCGGGTACTATTCAAGTGATTTCTGTACTGCCTTTTGATTGATGAGCTTATTCATTCAAGTGCCAAAAAGATATTTGCGTAGCAAAGATCCTTACTGTTAAGAATCTATTAAAAGGATTAAACTCTGCTTGTTCTGAGGGATTTCTTAGGAAATGGGCAGTGCTGGCTGGAGACAATGGCAATTTAATTTCATGTATCTGGAGAGCTACTGAGTGGGGGAATCTGTCTAAAACAACCCTTTTATCTTTATTAAATATGAACTCATAATACTTACAGAATTGGTTTCTAAGCTATATTTCACCATTTTCTTAAAAAATCCAAAAGCTGAGGATTATTATTTATTAGATTAACATAAAACAGTGCTTTTCACACTTGTTAACTTTAAGATGTATGGACTTCCAGAATTCTCCATACTGGCTGAGGAATTTTGGGCTCTGAAGTCCAAACATCTTAGGGTTGCCAAAGTAGGGGTGCATATATTGGTTCCACTGAGAATTTGAGTTTTTCCTTTACCTATCCAGGCGTTCTTGAATAGGTTGTCACTGCATTGATCATCATCAGTTGGTGATGTCCCCCAGCAAGTCATCATTATCCAAAGAAAAAAGAAATCCTATTGGATTTTCTTAGTCCTTGTCAAGGTCAAACTGAAACGCCAGATGGTTAGTACCACATCCACAAGATTAATAAGCAATTTTATCCAAAAGCTCAGCTAATCATTTCAACTCATTGAGACAAAACTGAAAAACTGAGATTTCTACGAAACAATTTGTGCAATTGAAGAGAGAATTCTTGGGTTACCATCCAGTCCCAGGTTATAATTCTGGGTACTTCATAGAAATCATACTTAAAGTTACATTCTCCTTCCCAATGTAAATTATCCTTTCTGAACTGTAATAGTTCAGATCAGAAAGGCCCAAGACTCAGTCAAGCTCTTGAAACAAGGGGCAGAGTTGAAGATTGAGGGCCAGGGACAGTGGGCCACCTAGGCAGTGATAATCTATCAGCAGCCTGCTTGCTGATGGAGTAGCATGCTTATATGGCTTCAGGCACTCCTTGGCCTTCTACCCCCATGGAGCCAAAGGAGGGGAGTCTTTTCAAACTAAGTTTACTGATTCTTATTCTCTAGACCAGAAGTAGTCTTCTGCCACTTCCTTTTCATTTACAATACACTGTAAAGTGTTACATTCATAGAAGTTTGGAAAACCTTTAGGAATTTGTCCATTTCACTGGAATAACTATAGTTGAAAATCTGCTCCATTTCAGCTTTAAATGCATCTTTTTTTTTCTTTTCTTCTCAAGAGAGCCAGATACATTAAACTTTCTTTGATATGTTATCCTAAATGAGTGGAACTAATTCAATACATTTCCTGTTGCAAGGAGACATAAACAACTTTTCCTATTTGGAAGAAAAGGCAGACTATCCAGGACTGCCTTTACTGATTTGCTCAGTCTCTCTCATTCACATGTGCTAACAGGAGCAATCAAATCCCTGTAAAAGTGAGTAATAAACTTCCTTTCCTTCTTTCCTTTCCTTTCCTTTCCTTTCCTTTCCTTTCCTTTCCTTTCCTTTCCTTCCCTCCCTCCCTCTTTGCTGAACCTTACTTACAGCAGTCATAGGCTGGGCTTTGATGCGCTGTGTGACTGCAAATATTTATAAGACTCATGTGATTGTGATTAAAAGTTTTTGTAACGCTCTGGCTCCCTTCCCTAAACCTCTGCCTACTAAATCTGTGTTAAGTTATTTAAGTTTCATCTGATAACATAAATTAATTAAAACAAACAAAAAGCACAATGAGCACAAAACAATCCCTTCTGCTCAGAGAAAAGCCATTCTTCCTGGCCTGTTTAGAGCTTCCTCCCTGAACCACATGCAGGCTTCTGTCCAGAAGTGTCTCCTCCCTCTTATGAAATGTGGTAACTGACAGATTTGCATGGAAAGCAAATCCAAACGAAGCAGTTATTAGTTGGCCACTGAGTGACTTCCTGGCATGATCCCATGCTCCTTTGCTGCCCAGAGAGCAAAAATGTCAGGCTTCCTCTGAAAACAAAACAAAACAAACAACACAAAACAAAACAAACAAAACAAAACAAAACAACCTCCAACAAAAAATATGGCCTTCAATTGGAATCCAATCCCTGCCTAAGTACTGCCTTCCTTTGCTCCTGTCCCTTTTGATATTCTGATGCAAATGTATCATAGAAGGACAGCTGTTTCAGTCTATGGAAGTGTCTCTCAATGTGGGTAACTTAAAGGTGAAGACCAAGGATTGGAAAAGATGCAGGATACAAGCTGTTAAAGCTTTCTCCTCTCCCCTCATTTCTCCATTTCAAATTATCCTTCAAAGTGATTCTTCTCACCCCCACCTGTTTGCTATATCTATAATGTATGCATCTATTAATGACTGAAGAGTGAAATGGCTAAAACCAAATTTCTCTATACTTTTTCCAAAGCTACTCCTCATTAGAAATGGTTCAGAATAAAGGTCTTGGGGTTATG